CTCACCCCCCTCCCCTCACATTGCCAGAAACACACATTTAAAACCCAACCCACCTCACAGTTCACACTTGCAGCTCTGTGCGCTGCACGGAGCGATTCTGTGACCTTAACACACTCTTTAACTTCCCACACTAGTCACTCACACACACACACACACACACATACATGCGCTGTATCAGAAAAAAAAAAACAAGAACTTGTCTAGTTTGTGGTTAAAACACGCAGCCTTTTTTTTCACACCCGGCGCCTGCACCTGATCTCGATCTTTCACATCTCTCCCCTCTATTTCCCCTTCTTTGCCGTCTGCTTGTCTGGAATCAAGTCTAGAAGAGTAAGTGCTGGAGCATGTGGAGCATGTTAGCATCTGTCCATGACACCTGACGGTGGAGCATGACCTGTAGAATGTTCCCTCTCCTCTCAGCGTTCACATTTTAGCTTTTTAAGGACCACCCTCCCAAACCCCCCCCCGTCCCCCCGGACGGATAATATATTTGTGTGTGTGTGTTTTAGAGGTGTAAGAAAATATTGATACACTGAAATATTACAATATTTCATTTCTGGATACTGTATCGATATACTACAGCTTTGTGTAGGTTTTTTTTTTATTACCAACTCACAGTCAAATATTGTATTATTATTGTTTTATTGTAGATCCCTCTGTTCCAATGTTAGTGACCTGATGTTCAGCAGCAGAGTCTGAGACTAGGATGACATTTTACTACAGTTAAATTGTTAAAAAAAAACCCTCAATATATCATTGTGCCTATAGTATCACAATATATCGCAATATATCGTATTGTTGCCCCGTATCGTGATACGTATCTTATCGCCAGATTCTTGCCGATAAACACCCCCTAGTGTGTTTGTGTGTCTGCTGCATGTTTGTGAAACCTCTGGTGTGATTAATTTATTTTCATTTATTTATTTAAATTTTTTTTTTAACTATTTGCTGTTCAAGGACTCCCAGAGTAAACAGGGTGGATACAGCATGCATCAGCTGCAGGGAAACAAGGAGTTTGGCAGCGAGAAGAAAGGTTACCTGCTGAAGAAGAGCGACGGGTGAGAGATTCAAAGCTTTCAATGGCTCCCCAGCAGGGGGTGCTATAAATGCCTTAGATGCTAATGGTTTGCTTGGATTGTTTTGTCGATAGATTTCGTCATCATCACTGAGGCCCCACGTAGCTTTTTTTACTTTACGTTTTTTTGTGAAGGTCGTTGACTAAGTCGGTAAAATGATGGACACTGATGTGGGGCAGCCGTTAATTACTATTAATTACTATTAATTACTTACAGCTGGACTAGAGCCGAGATCACACTGATGTGGCCGACACCAAAAATTCAACAACACCTTAATTCACACTAAACAAAAAAAATCCAGTTTCACAACGTTGCAGCTTCATTCTTGGCTCGACTCATTACGACATATAAAAAATATTTGAATTAAATTGATGGGATTGTTTTTGTACGATGTAATGGTTTATTTGCTGTCTTTAAAGTTTGACTCTTCTCTCTTGTCGCTGCCCAGTCACTAACGTCTGACTCCTCTTCCTCCCACAGACTGAGGAAGGTGTGGCAGAGGAGGCAGTGCTCAGTGAAGGGGGGCATGCTCACCATCTCTCATGCCACAGTAAGTCTGAGATAAACACACACACACACACATAAACTCTGTGACCCCCTGCCCCCCCCCACTGCCC